ATGTTCATCAGGAAAAGTCCTTCTTTATTGACCTATATTCAGTCTAAACTGAGTTCAGTCACTACAGCCTCTTATGATCCTAATCCAAATAAAATTTCCTCACCCTGGTGTGGTCCCGGCAACAAACTGCAAAAACATTATTGTAAATAGTTCAGCTGGCAGGGGGCTCAAGGGAGGCCTATTACTCCTTTATAAACACAGTTTACTTTCTTACACACACAAACACACACACACACACACACACACACACACACACACACACACACACACACACACCTTCAAATGACAGTACACCAGCAAAGGTTTGGCCCATGTCCTGGTAGAAGTGGCAAGGATTCAGGCTGCAGTTAGCCTGCCCTCCTGCAAAGGAGACCAAAGTCTGATCAGTATATGGCCCTTCCTTAGTACATTATAGCTACAGAGGACACACAGAAAAGACTCATTCTATAATGTGTCTGATGGCTTTCAAAAATTCCTGCCTCAGCTGCCATTAGCTAGAAATGAATTGTCTAAGATGTGATAAGTCCAAGAGAAATCAATTTACATATATCAGGGATATACTTAAAGAAGCATTCCTGCTGACTCCAGGCTGTGTGAATTTAAGTAATAAACTAAAGAGGAAAGTACAAGGTCAGTCAGATGAGAGGGCTGAGGGTCACAAAGGGTGCTACTTCTTTAAATGAAATAAGCAGAAGGAAATGGCATTAATTCAATCAGTCACATGGGATAAATAAAATCATATGAGGGAAATTTACAACCCCAGGTCTTTTCCATCTCTGGCTGTAGGTGAGGAGGTAGCCCCTTTTGCATGCCTCTCTTGTGTGGTCCGGGTTCTTCCCAGATGCCTTTCCTGTGGCCAGCTGTCCTACCCGGCACCTCTGGCTCTCAATAAATGAATCTTCCCTACCACCAGCCAGACCAACACGTCTGGGACCAAGTCTGATGTCTGGGTATTGCGTCCATCAGGTTTCTGAGGTGTGTCCTGATCACCTGCACCCCGTGTTACATATCAAACATTCAGATCTCTGGGTCATGACCTGGACCCAGGGAAACTCAGTGCCCAGCACAGTGGCAAGAACTTACCATTTTAACCAGCATGCCATGAGTGCTCCTTACCCTGGACACTCGGGAGCCAGTGTACCCATGCACACCGAAGAATAATTAAGATATTAAATGATTACTACCTGCTTAAGATTCCAGACTCAGGTTTTACATATTAAATCCTACTGTATCTGGAATGCCAACTCAGATATACAACCACATAAGCCACATAAAAGGAAAAGCAGTACAATAGCTAGAATAAAGGAAAGTTGTAGCGCACAATCCTGACCTTAAATTCGTCACCCTTTGTTACTAATGAAATACTCATCAAATAAACTTTACAAAATGAAGTAGATTACTCAAAGCATTTAGAAGAAACAAAGCTTGCCATTTGCCATTTCCTGACTTACCAGGTAGTGGGCACTAACTTCCTGAATCTTTTCAGCCAGGGTTCTGAGTGGTCCTCCTGCAACTGCAGTGTGATCCAAGCCCTTCCTGTGGGGAGGGGTTTGCACCTCTGCCTGTGACAGAGCCCTTTTTCTTGTTGCCCCTCCTTGACCATCTGTTTCCTTGCAGGATTATTACAGGCCCTTCAGAAGAACTAGAGGGAATAACCTTAATGAATTTTGCCCTGGCCCCTCTGCTGCTTGCTCTATCTACCACCCCCAACACCTGTTCTTTCCTGTGACCACAATGAGAACTCCATCTGAAGACCCCTAGTTCCTCCAGAAAAGAATCCCACTGGACAACTGTCCTTTGAAGCAACTTGCCTAAAGAATCTGCCAAAATCAAACCCATCTTTCCCCCATACCTTCCTGTTTTGCTTTTTTATTAGACAGTGTCTCACTGTATAGCCAGGGCTGACCTTAAACTCAGAGATCAGCCTACCTCAGCCCTCCAAGTACTGAGATTAAAGGTGCAATTGGGGGCAATAAAACCTTATTTAGGATACAGGAGACCATGGCACAACAGGACTGTAAGCCATGCCATCTTACTGTGAGAAATGGCATCCATTTCTAGTGAAACAGATACTAGATGACCCTAAATCCTTACACACTGAACACTCATACACACATACTTTATAACATGTGCCAGTCAGCCCTTTCTAACCATAAGTAAGGCAGGACCCACCTGAACTCACCAAATGGAAAAGTTAAGGGGGCAGAGTAAAAGAAAATAGCAAAGTGTCACAAACTCTAACCCAAAGAATGTAACAGAGAGAGACCCTTCCAATGAGCATGACTGACGTTAAGATGACACTTTTCTCTGTAATTATTTGGACGAAAGGAAGGGCTGCTTTGCTCTTGTCACAGTGACAGAATTCTGGCATAGCTCTTCTGGGCAGAGGAGCTGCTTTGTTCAGTTTGGGGGATTCTTTTAGCTCACAGTTTTGTTGCCAAAAAGGCAGGGCAATGTTCATGATGGCAGCAACGGTTCAGGAGTCAGAGGCAGCTTGATTACATCCTAAGGCCAGTGAGCAAGCAGAAAGGATTCCAGCTAGCACAGGGCCAGGCTGTAACCCATAGAGCCCACCCACAGCAATCCTCTTCCTTCATAAGGCCCACCTCCTAAAGGTCCCATAACCTCCCAAGTAGTGCCAGTGGCTGGAGATGAGCTTGGGGGAATCATTTCACATCAAAACTGTAACATTCCTTGCCCCATAGGCTCATGGCCCATCTCATAATATAAAATGTACTCAGTCCAACTTCAAAAGTCCAAAGTTGAGAACGGGAAGCTTACTGTAGCATAGTCCACAGATAGTGAGTCATATCTGCCCTAGGCATCCATCAGTGGAAAAGCACATAGAGAATATGTGCTAGGTATACACACACTGGAGTCTTAGCTATAAATAAGAATGGAATCTTGTTAGTCTGTAGGAAAACAGATGGAAGCAGAAATTGTGTTAACTGAAATAAGCCAGACTAAGAAAGACGAATATCACACATGTTTTCTCTCATGAGATCTAGATACGAGATGTATGTGAACATAGACGGAGAACTATTAGGAGAAAGAAAAGTTAACAGTGGAGGGTGCAGGTGAAGGGGACAGGTGCGTGACCACGGTTTGAGTGCAGTATACTGTGTGCAGCGATGTGCTGCAGAGGTGTGCTTCCAGCTGGACATGCCCAACTCAGCACTGTCTGAAGCTTGCTTTTGACTTAGCCTTCAGATTTAATGGAAACTAAGACACTTAAAACAGAAAGAAATCACAAAGTGACCATCTTTCTGCAAGAAACCTCCTAGAACTTGTTACCACCATGGTTTAACAGTGCAGCTCTTCAATAGAGTAAGTGCCCGTGTGGCACTAACCCTCCCAGCCCCTCCCCTACTTGGAACCCAAGTCCTATATCAATTTTCTGAATGTGCCAAGGCCCAGCAGGGTTCTTGGCCTCTGTTGAGGCTCCTGTTGTTACTTCTAGTCCCCCTCCTCTCCCTACCTAGTAAACTCTCACTCACCTGCATGGGCAGAAACAATTCCCCTGGAAACACAACCCATAGTTGGTAGATGTATAAATATTTACCCATAACTATTTGCAAACTCACCTTTCAGCACCTCCCATTTGTAAGGAACATCCTTAGCTGTAGAGGTGAAGCACATTTTAGAGGCACTGCAGAAAGTTCTCACAGTTACACTCAGATGCTTGACTAGAGCTGAAAGAGACAGGCTTCTCGGCTGAAGAGAGAATACTGCTACCATCTCTGACACAGACGGCATGATAACAGAAGTGGGCCAATCAGCAGGCTGAATGTGTTAAATGACACTGCACAAAGAAGACCCTGCTGTTGACAAGGGGCCACTTCTGGGGCTGACCTCTTGAAAGGTCCTACTTTTTAGGTGACATCTGTATGGCTATAATTTATTGATACTCGTTCTTAATATGTCACCAGCATGACACCCAGACCACTAGCAAAAACCACAAAGCACAATGTTTTAGAGGGGAGGAGGGCTCTTGCTTAGCTAGAGCGAAGCATGCAGACATGTCTCCATGCAGTATTAGACCTGCTCTGTTAGTTACACCACAGAATTCTTACTAGACTCTATCACACTCGCTATGTCCGTTCATCACACCACCCCAGGCCAAGCAAAAAGAGAATTTTCTTTAAGTGAGTTTGGTCACTAAGGAACGAAGTTGTCCAGTTCACATCCTTCACCCTAGATTTTTGGTATCTGTCTGCACCTTTAGAGACAAAAGAAACCATTCTTTCTGCCATCCTTCTTGATGTTCAGCGCCTTCATTTTTGTCCATCTGACGAGACTCTACTTGCCACTTTCTGCCTTCAAAGATCACCTGGTCTAACCTGATCACAGTTTGCCATGCTCTTCCTTCCCCTTCATCTAAGAACTGGGTACAAGTCTCCAGTCTGCAGGGTAACCAGAACACTCTTAAACAAGCTGTCACAGAGCTGTATCTAACTCTAGTTATCAGACAACACACAACCATGATATGCCTGGCTCACAGGGTAGTCCATACAATAAGCAACACTATTATGGATTAATACCCAGCTGGATGCAGGAAGATTGGATCTTATACTGGAATTAGAAGGGGAAACACTTTAAAACATCCTTAGAGTAATCTAGTCTACAGCCCCACACAAATAGGATAACCCCAAAGGTCTCACAGAGTACAGAACACAGAGTAGCTTAAGTCCCCATAGTCATTGTGGGCTTACACTACATAGCACAGTGCAGGTTCCTGAACTGCATTTTGAAAGCACAGTGGCTGTAAACATAGTACGCATAAGGAAACAGTCAGGATAAATGTCTCCTTTAATTCATATGCAACCAATTTGGGCATAAAAGTTACAATGTAAGACAATCCACAATCCTACAGAAGCAGAATTCAAAGTGTCCGAGTGGTAATCATAATTAGAGTAAAGAAAAATGTTGAGTTTTAAAGTTGGGGGAGGTAATAAATACAGCCCAGGAGAAATACAAAACAGTCTCAGAAAACCAAGTACCTGTGAGTTTGATCTTGGACAGTCTAGCCAAAATGCCAGGCAGATCTTCAGCATGAAGCTTCATCTCTTTCCACTGCTTTTCTTCCTTTGTCTCTTTGGCTGTGTCTAGAGAACGTTCCACTGTGGAAGCAGTCCCCAGCTCCAGCAACTCTTCTTTTGGCTTGTGGGACAAAGGCAGGCTGGGGACTGAGAGAGATGGCAGCTGATCCACTTCTGCTCCAGACTGCCCTGAAGATGTGTGTTCCAAGAATGGAGAAGCCACTGGCTCTGGCTTTGGTTTGACTCGCTGGCTAAGGCCCCTGTGCAGCTGTGTGACATACTACACAGAAAGACAGACAGATAGGTGTTACTAAAGACAAGGATGTTGCTTAACAGCTTTCAGCCCTTGGAAGAGCTTCCTGCAGCTTTAACATTGTTAGCAGAGCAGGCACTTACAATGTGTGCAACACTGACATTAGCACTAAAAGATACAGAGATAAAATTAATGTGTTGGCTATGATTTTAAATTTGTGGTTTAGAAAAATCTAGGAATTTAAGTTCCTGGCAAAGAAGATACATCTGTTATCCACTGACCTTACTGAAGGCTGAACTTTCTAATCTGAATACACTAAAATGTCTATAGACAGCCAAGGTCAGTTATTGACCACATGAGCTCTTAAGCAAACATCTTAAGGGCACTCACTGGAAGGCTAACTGGGCTACCCGAGTGGGAGTGTAGGATGAGGAAAGACACTCCAGTCTTAGAGTCAGTCCCTATCACTGATGGGCAAAAGCTGGTAATTACTAGTAATATTATGCGGGCCCTTATTAATATATATTTTAACTAATCTTCCCAACAGTATTCAAAGATAGGTCTTTATTTATAACTCTTTTATTTATAGATGACGACACCAAACTTCTAAAATTGACAAAACCAATACACTAGATTTTAGTTAAGATTTTACATTAATTAAACTTTAAGTTAAAGTGGGTATTTGAAATGGAAGGGTGAAATGTTTCTAAGTAGAACATTGGACTATGATTTGCTATTCTTTAAAGCAGCACTATGAATTTCCAGCTGTATTACTATTCTATGACTATTCTTCTTGTCTAGAAGATAGTTACCATGCTGCCGCACTCTCAAAGTGTATCAACACAGACAGAGGCTTGTAAGAAAACCAGACCATCAGCACCACTGTAAAAGCACTGGCAAATTACAAAAACCTTTATTTTAGTCTACTTAGAAGGTAGAGGTGTGTGTGTGTGTGTGTGTGTTCATATGTACTGGGGACATAAACACAAGTCATATGTCAACCTTCAGTCTCTCTCCTCAGGAGACATACATCTTTTTTAAAAAGATTTATTTATTATTTATTGTGTATAGAGTGTTCTGTATGCATGCACGCCTACAGGGCATCAGATCTTACTACAGATGGTTGTGAGCCACCATGTAGCTGCTAGGAACTGTACTCAGGATCTCTGTAAAAATAGCCAGTGCTCTTAACCTCTGAGCCACTTCTCCAGCCCAATACATCTTACTTTCTGAGGCAGTTTCTTGGTGGAGCTGGCCAGGGATCCTAAGTCTGCCTCATCAGAATTGAGGTAACAAGTGCATACTACCACACCTAACTTTTATGTTGGTTCTAGGGATTGAACCAAAGCAAGCACTTTACTGACTGAGCCATTCTCCAGTCCCTCAGAGGTATTTTTAGTCTTTTCAAATGCATCAATGGTCTAGGAAAATAAGAAGATCACACGGTTAAACAACTACTTCTGTTTTACTGACATATTTACAGAACTTCAGAGAATGTCTAAAAGATGCAGCATACAAGTTCAGCTTTTCCTAATTTTAGCCTGGTCGAAATATACCATAAGTTTTCAATCATTCTTCAAACTTAATCAATAAAATTTCAAGATCATATATTTAACCTCAAATGCCAGAATTGTTCTGGTTTCAGTTAAAAATAATCAAAACAAGAGGTTAAAGTTTTGGATAAACTTAACAGAACACTAAATAAAAGCCTCTTTCACACAGTACTTCCTAAAAGCTTTCTTCTAACAGGAATCTCTGTAGTTCTCTCACCCAGAGAAAAGCAGAGGCGGAAAGCAACTGAAGGCAGGCCTCTACTTACCATGCGCCTGAGGAAGCTTAGGTGCTGGACCATGACCCACTGATTATTGACATTCCTGAACAGATGGGTGACCCTGTGGGGCAATTCTTGTATAGCTCTTCTCTCTAGATACCAGACACATCCTCCCACCGAGCCTGCAACAAGGAGACAAAGAGAAGATGGCATGTTGAAATGGTAGCTGCTCACTCAGCAGTGCCTACATCATAGCAAAGCAAGATGCTGTTGTGTGGGGCTGGATTCCAAAAGCACCTCTGATTCCAACCTGGGAAGCAGTGCCACTCATCGGCACTAGACTTAAGTCAGGGAAGGGAACCGTCTCTTTCACATCATTATGTTTACAAGAATTCACGAGATGACCATACTGTAGATGTCTCTAAGAAGAAAATAACATCAAGGTGAGTTCACTTTTTATAAAGTAGAAAAGACAGCGCCCATCTTTTCTCACTAAACACCGGTAAACTACAATGAAGGTTTACATTTCCTTTGCATGGTTAAGATAACTACAAGGAAGGGAAAATGGCTTTCAATAACATATGAGTGTCAATCCATTTAGGAATTTTGATTTCTTTGTTAAATCTCTCAAATCAACAAATAAAGAGCTTGTCTAGCATGTGACAGTATATACATTGCAGTCATCCCCTGGCTTATCCTCCAGGTCCTAGCTGATCTTTTCTAAAGTGTCCCTTCTCATGGCTTCCACAACCTAATGTTTCTCTATGCTCTGTTTTCTACTTCTGAGTTTCCCACTGTGATCCAATTGTCTATGTATTGTGTAGTTACTTCCACAGAATTTAAGTATTTCCTCCTAGAGCAAGTTTTAAGATGGAAAAGGCCTCCTCTTCCCTGGGGCTATATAAGCAGTAAAACTCTGGAAAGGTAAGGCATGCAGGTCACACCTGTCCCTCTTTCTATTCCTTCTGAAAGACTCCTAAGCACTTACACTGGAGCAGAATAATAGCAGTTAGAGTGAAGCCAATCATCCTGCCTTCATGCATCTCTCTTCTTTTCTACCCCATGTTTCACAGATTGTACCCCTTAATTCTCCCCAAAAGCACCACTTCTGGGGACCAAGTGTTCAGATGTCTGTGCCTATAGTCAAACCACCACACACTGCTAACACAAACCCTCCCATTTACTTTATCACAGCAATACTGCCTCATGACCTTCCATCTAAGCACATTACACACACTGGATCGACAGTATTTACACTGCTTCCTTGTATGCAATCTTCTCTCTACCTATCAAATTTTCAGTCCCTTCAACTATTCCATCATGTTATATTATGTTTTATGATGTCACTTATTCTTTTAAATATTTTAGTCTTTTCTGATATATTATATCCTGACCAGTTTCCTTCTCCTCCTTCTCCTCCTAGTCCCTCACTCCATCCATGCCCCACCCCAGGTCTACTTCCCCACCACTTCCCTTCAGAAAAGAGCAGGTCTCCCAGAGATATAAACCAACCATGGCATAACAAGCTACATTACGACACACATGCTTATATGAGGGCACATCCCCTCATATAAGGCTGGATGAGAAAACCCAGTAGGAAGGGTCCCAAGAGTAATCATAAGAGTCAGAAACAGCCCCTGCTCACACTGCTAGGAATCCCACAAGAACACCAATCTACACAACCATAACATGTATGCAAAGGCCCTAGGTCAGACCCATACAGGCTCTCTGATTGTCACTTCAGTCTCTGTGAGCCCCTATGAGCCCTGGTTAGTTGGTTCTGTGGACTATGTTCTTGTGGTGTCCTTGCCCCTCTGGCTCCTACACCCTTTCCCTCTTTCACAGGATTCCCCAGCTTCCCTAATGGTTGGCTGTGGGTCTCCGAATCTGATGATAGCACATCTTCCTTTTTAAATGATTTATTTTTATGTGCGCTGGTGTTTTGCCTGTGTGTCTGTGTGAGAGTGTCAGATCCCTGGAAGTAGATTTACAGACAGTTTTAAGCTGCCATGTGGGTGCTGGGAATTGAACCCAGGTTTTCCGGAGCAAGTCAGTGCTCTTAACTGCTGAGCCATCTCTCCAGCCCCATGATAGCATTTCTTAATGCAAACTATTCCCACCTCTTGCAGAACACAGCCCTCTGAACAAAGTAACCTCCAGCTTCACCAGACCAGCTACACCTGCTTACAAAAGTATATCAGGAACCAGCTTGCTAACTGTTGATATTCCCTCATAGACAAGGGTTGGGGAGGGATTGGACTCTCACCTGAAATTCCAGCCACTCCTCACAACCATATGTTTGCAGTTCTGCCTTAAGTGCATGTGGCCTCAGGGCTTAGAGGTACTAGAGTAATTATAGGCAGGGGAAAGGTTCACTGAAGGGGCTCCATCGATGTGGCTAAGGAGAAGCCATCATCCACAATGGGTACAAACTTGCAAGTGCAGCTGCTGTACTCTACTCTACTCCTGCCAGTAACCCCTCACCCATGCTATATAAGCAACCCAATAAACACATTGGTTCCCTAGGTTGAACTTTGGTGGAATCATAATTTGGTTTTACATTAGGACCTTGTGATTAGGGGGTAGGTACAGTTTCCCTCTCTCCAAGAAAAGAATTCTCGAAACACCATCATCATAGTGTTTACTTCTTTGATGGCAGTCTGTCCTTTGCTCACCTCTGCTACCACAGTGACTGGACACTTGCCAGATAACAAAGTGAAATGATGTTTGGTGACTGACAAGCCCAGGTAGCCTTCCTGAATTGTTAGATGAGAATAAGCTCTCCTCTGGAAATACAAGGCCATTATCTTAAAGCAGAGGTGGGCCAATTGGCACCAAAATCATATCCTCAAACCACAATTATGACATGCTCACTTTCAAATGGATGGATATGTGTTTGCCTTGGAACCACTTTGGGAATTCTTTCAAGATTATGTGGGCCAAGCTGAAATTTTACAGAATGACAGTAACAACCACCAGTGTGTGTGTGTGTGGGGGGGGGGGCAGCTTGGAAACTGTATTTGTAAATTATGACAACTCTTGGTTTAGTCAATATGGTATCACCTGTTCATGAACAAATACCTAGAAAGCTACTTCAGGCCTGGGTAAGTACATGCACACTTTAAGATATCCAGGGCTTATAAAAGACACATTAAGGGGGCTAGAGAGATGGCTCAGTGGTTAAGAGCCCAGCTGTTCTTCCAGGAGACCTGGGTTCAATTCCCAGGACCCACATGGCAGCTTACAACTATCTGGAAGTCTAGTTGCAGGGGACCTGACACCTATGGCAAAACACCAAAACACATAAAATAAAGTTAAATTAAAAAAATTAAAAAAAAGACACATTAAAAATCTGGAGAGGTGAGATTATCACTAGACTGTGTCTGTGTCTGTAGGGCTTTTAAAATCAGCTAAGGAGACAATTGCTTGAAAGTTCCTGAAGCTTATTTAATGGAAATGAAAACAATCTGAACTTTTCATAAACAAACTCGGAGTAATTGCTAGCCACCAAACAAACCAGTTATCCTTCTCTGCCATCTTTTCCTATCAAATTTCTGAGTGGGATATTTCACAGATTCACACAGAGCAGATTTTTCTGAAGATATGCTCAATTTTAGAAACTAAGCTATTAGTTCCCTCTATTCTGCCACTCCAGAGACTGACTGATCCGGGGACAGGAGGTCATATGCAACCTATCTCCTACACTGTGGGTTTCAGGAGTCAAAATAGAATTGTTCTATAAGGAGCTGAAATATAGAACAGAAAGGTAGGAAGAAAGACTTCTCTGAGTAACATACACAGAAGAAGCTTCCATACAGAGAGGATAGTCAAGCAACAAGAACAGATGAGCCCTCTAAGAGTGCCAAGGGTCAGGACCAAGGAACACTCACAGCAGGAACGACATAAAGTAACAAAGAAGTGACTCAAAAAAGACTCATAATCAAAAAACAAAAATAAAAACAACAAAACGCCCCACAAACTTTCAGTATGGAAAATGGCAGTCATAGAAAAACAGAGGTATCCAAGAAACTCCCATTACTTATCCCCCAGCTTCAACAATTGCCAAACACTGCCCAACCTTCTACTCACTGCCCTATCTTTTGAGCCAGAAGGGACCTCTGAAATCATCCTGCTCAGCTACCTCATTTATATTCAAGTAAATATTCCATTATAGAAAAGTCAAATGATCTGCCCTGAGATCACACAAACCCATGAGAGAACAGAAGTTCCTAGAACCACCGTGATCAACACCGTTGGCCAGACACTGCTGGCAGCTTGTATGCAACAGTGAGACCTACAGAATGTGCTGTGATATGAGAAGGTAGTTTTTGCCTTCTACTTTGTTTCTAATATGGACCAATTAATCTTCATCCATGGATACTCTCCTCTTAATATTTCTACCAGAAAAATCCCATTCATTCACAAATGAATGAGCATCATCAATGTACACAGGAATTGATCTGGCCATGAAGGTTACAGCGTTGAACCAGAGACACAAACAATTTCTACCTCCACAAAGTATGCATCATCTAATCAGAAGAAACATACTAAATTGACGTACATCTGTAGTGTGCATATGAACAATTACAACATGCAATAACCATGTTAAATTAACGTGATATGAAAAAAGAAGGATAAAGGCTCCTATTTTAGGAAGAGTGTGCAGGGTGGTTGAACTCTCTGAAAAGGTGAGACCTGTTCAAGAATTTATGATAAACATTTGTCAAAAGTCCTTTAATTGAAAGAACTATACTGAGCGTGCACAGCTAAGTCTCAATGGGATTCAATCTAAAATTATCATTATCACGATTATAACCGTGACACTTCAAGCTAGAAGGCAGCTCCTTAACCCGGGCAGGTGCAAATCTTGTCATTTACAAGGCAGAGGCTAGCAACGGCGGCTCCCATATGTCCAAGGCACTGTTCGCCGCCCTCCCCCCAAAAAGCACGGGACACCAAACGTTACGCCCCTCTTGGCATACGGTACAAAAGTGGTCCACATCTCCATGGCCTCGTCCCTTCAGGCTACCCCAAAGGTCACCTCCCTGCCAGGTGACAAGCCAAGGGCTTCCAAGGTTGCAGCCAGCCGGAACCACGGTGTCGCGCGCGGCAAAAAGAATTCCCCCACGATTGTGCCAGATCGGGTACAATACCTGTGAGGAGGCGCGAGGAAAGGGTGTGCGGGGACGCGGCCATAACGCACCGGTGCAGCTCTCCCCTGGATTCCCGTGTCCTCTCACCTCACCGGCTCCTGGGCGCTGCCATCTTGCTAGCCCGCCCTGTGAGTGAGGCGGGACTTCCTGTCCGTCACTTCCGGCTCCCAGTGGTCACTGAAAACCTGGCTGCGGGTGGTTGTGGAAGTCTGGAGATGGTACCTTCACCTGTTGCTCAGGTGCTCGGGGTCCAGACTGGATGAACGTGATGCTCCCTCCCGGGGTCAGAATCGCTGGAGCGTGCGGACGAGAGGACGCGTCGTGGCGGGGTTAGGGCTGCGGAGTCGGTTCTGGCTGAGCAGTCCTCCGTGCTTGAGAGAATTGAAGCCTCCTGAATTGTCATCCAGGCTGGTATTGCATAGCCTCCGGCTTCTCGTGTTGGGGTTTAGTAAGTAAAAGAACGAGGAAGAAAGGAACTCCTTAAAAAGAAGAGCGAAACCCGTCTTTCAAGGTCAATGAGATCCCTGTGGTTCACCTCAGGTGCTAGGCAAGGGGCACTGAGACGGGAGACTCTCGGATTGTGTAGGAGCACGCCCTGTACCTCTGCAGGTAAAGTGGTCAGCCTGATAGGGATAAGATGGAAGGCGCCACGGAAAGAGGTTAACATTTCTGTGAGATTGGCTTTCTGAGGAAAGGCTTTGACGAGCCAACTTGCTGCTCAGTGGAGGGAACTGTGCGTCTTTTCCAGTTTACAAGGGAGACAGAGAATGGGATTGATTCTCTGTGGCCAATCACAGTTCATCACAGTGTCCCCATCAAAGTGTTGTTAAACTACGAAAGAAGAGAACGGATCCCGGAGAGTAACTGAAAAGCCAATAACAACTTTGTTCCACGCACTGTTTTGCAAGCACTTTGAACATGGCCTGTTCTGTGAAATATCATCAGGTGCAAGCCTTAAGTACACAAACCAAGTGCACAATTTAGAGATACAGTCATACCAACAGCATTTGCTTATTCTTAGATGACTCACACCTTCTGCTTTGCAGCCATCATGGCTAATTAGACCCACTGTTCCTGGACTGGTTCCCTTCAATGATGTTCAATTATAATAAATTAGTAAGCCTTTTACAAACAACTAGATGCCTAGTTGGATTGTGATATGATGCAGAACCTGAAGGCTAGAGAGATTGAGTAATCAAACAATAGAATATACAGCAGTGTTTCCTGTCTCTATATATGTCTCTTTAAATTCATGTTTTAAAACAAAACAAACAAACAAACAAAAAGTGGTGTAACAGCAAACTCTCTAGGATGTCTATAAATAAAGTCAAGAGATAGCAGGAAGTGACAAGTTTGTGAAGAAATACAAACCCTGATACATTGCTTATGGAAATATAACATATTGTAGCCATTCTAGAAGACAGTTGAGCTGTTTCTCAATAAGTTAAATACAGTACTACCTCATGACCCAGCTGTGCCTTTCCCAGGTATATGCCCAAGACAAATGACAGCATTTGTTCTCTTATAATATCATAATATCCCAAAGTGAATATAACCTAAGTGCTCATCAACTGAATATATATATATATATATATATATATATATATATATATGTTGTAGTGTATCCACATAGTGGCCCCATTTGCTATAAAATGAAAATAAAGTACAAATACATACAAGCATGAAAATAATACTAAGTTAGAGACGTCAACTACAAAACACCACTTACTGTATAGTATCCATTTATATGAAAAGTCCAGAATGCTTAAATCATTAAACAGAGAAAGTAAGTGATTACCTAGTAGTAGTAGAAGGGGTAGGGAGAAAAGATGAGTAATTGTTAATGAGTTCAGGGCTCATCTGAATAGAGGGAAGATAAAAATATCCCTAAATCGATTGTGGGGGTAGTTGTACAACTCTGAATATACTTAAAACTGTAAGGTAGACAGTTGATACCTTTTTGTCAGATGTAAAATCTTTTATGAAGGCAATGGCCATTTTTCCATAAAAATATACTAAAGACTGTCCAGCTCCCTCAGGTTACACTGTTTATCATGCTAGCTTCTCACTAAATATGTGTTTCTCAGTCTCTGCTTAGTATCCTATGGCAGAAGCAGAAGTGTGTCTTCCCTCTGCAAAGAAGACTTAAAGTAGGGATAGTAGGGATAAATAAAGAACAGATATATTAGTGGACATGAATGGAAGTGGTCCCTTTGCTCTTTTGGTACTAAGGGTTTAACCAAGGCAAGCACTTCTAAGCTCTACCTTCAATGCTGTGCTGATTCTTTGAACAATTAAAAAAAAAAACTGCATAAAGGCTCAGCTACTGTGTTAGGGAATGATACCTTAAGGAGGTGCTTGCAGGAAGTACAGGCAGATGGGAAGCAGGGAGGAAAAGAAGCTAGTCCCTTCTCCCTGTGCCTCTCTTGCTGTATCATGGCCCTCATAGGCAGAGCTGGGCTAGGCACCTGCAACAATGTGGTTGATCTGTTCCAGCTCTAGGCATAGTACAAGGTAGCTGTGTAGATTACTGATGGGGGTTTATTAGAGTAGGTATTTTACTCTTAAGTAATTGGAATTTACAGCTTCTTGTGAATTTGACCACTAACTGAGCTCCTTGGAGTTTCTCATTGTTCCTCTAGAGTGATGAATCATATCAGGGTAGGATCATCTCTGGGATCATTCCAGACAGATACCTCAGTTTAAGTTTTCTGGCACCTTTTCCTTCTTAACTTTCCGGGGCTCACAACCATATGTGATTTTAGGATACTAAATGTGAAAGTTACAGTTATTTAAAATGGAATAAGTTCTCATTAACACCTTTGTAATAAACTGACCCTGGCTGTACTGAGGAAAACAAAATTTCCAATACCAAGGAAGAATCATGATTGTTTTAAGACAACATAATTTTATTCACCCTTACCTGTCACTTGATTTTCTAGAGCTTCCAACAGTAGAATGGTTGTGTTGCACAGAAAGGAGAATGAAAAAGAGAAGCCCGTTGGATAAGTTTTGAAGAAAATTTTTGTTTGTGTTGAACTGAATATGTAAAGGGAGGTGTTCTTTCTGCCTTGCTTCTTCTCAGGAAGCAGGGTTGAGATTGAAAATTCCTGAAGCCAAGACAAATCTGTAAAATAAATATGCTTCCATTTCTTGCATCCTGGGTGATGCATTCAGTGAATGGCCTAGGGGGCTGAAACACCTGCCTTAGAGCATGCTGAAGATACATGAGACAGAGACAGCTGGGACTGTGGTGGTACTCCAGAAAGAATGCCATGCTTAGTGAAAATAAGACAAATTCAAACATTATGACTTGGTTTTCTTAAGTTGTTTTTTTGAGATGCAGTGTCAGTGTGTAGTTCAGGGCTCTCTTTAAGTTGCTGTTTCTCCTGCCTGAGCCTTCTGAGCATTAGGATCCCAGGTATGCATCACTAGGTTGAGGTGGTAGCTATTTCTAATATAAAGTAAATCTATAATGCTTTAAGTAACACTAACAATGAAAGACTATTTTGTACAGATTTGTTACTTGTTGTGTTACTTGTTGTTTATTGTGCACCCATCTCTTTTGATGATGGTAAACATCATCAAACCACATCAGGAAGGCATTCCTCTCCTTCTTTGGAGCCTACTGAAGAAAATAGTGGCACACTCTAAGCAGAGAAAACAAATCCTATGTTTGAGAAAATCATGACCTTAAGAACATCCTTAAACTGTTCTGTGGGGAATTCCAAGGAATTGGTTGTGTATTCTGGTAAGTGAACTGTCAGTATTAAATACTATACAAGTCCAAACTACAAGGACATAGCAGAAGGCAAACCAGCAAGTAGACCTCTTTATATCTTTTCTGGAACCAGCTACAACTTCTCATCAGGGAACCTCTTTTTCTCTTCATTTGAATCTTTAACCCAACAGCAAGTAAAATTTATTCTTATTTTAGTGTGTGTGTGTGTGTGTGTGCATGTGCTTACATGTGTCATGGCATATATGTAAAGATCAGATAACTCTCAGGAGTTGGTTCTGAACCCTTCTACCATGGGTTCATTCCCTGAGTTGAACTCAGGTTGTCAGGCTTGCAGGACAAGCGTTTTACCAGCTGAGCCATCTCACCAGACCAGAAGTCTATTTGTTATGACAATGCATTACATATTTGTAAAACAATGCCTTTTAGCACCCACTGTCCTGTTATGTACCATTTCTCCATGTTAGTCTCAAGATCTCTGATAATGTTCATTGGCATTTCAGATGTGTCACCCTTTTTTCCAAATTCATACTCTAAACGGTGTCACAATTACAATTTAAGCATGTCTAATCCCAAGACATGTTTTCAAGTCTGCTGTACTATCCCATATTTTATGTATTTCACAGTCTCTGTTACCTAGCTTTTTTTTTTTTTCATTCTCTAGAGTTTTTTATTTCATCAAACCAGTGAAGTTATTGAAGTTCAACTTGATTTTTACATTTGCTGACTTGGGTTCAACTTTCTTTGACCCGGTTTTCTATATGTATAGGACAGGATACTAATACCAGGTCTACAACTTAAATTACTCTATAATGTGAGTACTTAGTCCATATTTGGACCTTTGCAAGAATACCAATTTCTGCCTAAGACCTCTTAAATCAAAAGTTTTTATTGTGGACCTGGCAATTTAGCTTTAAAAATTATTAACATTTTATGAAAGTCATACAAGCTTTATATGAAAATAAGAGCCCATGTAGTAGTTACTTTTCTTTTGCTATGATAAAGTATCATTACCAAAAGCAACCTAAGGAAAACTTTAACCCTATAATTCCAGAGGGATAGTGGCATCCTGGCAGGGAAAGCTTGGCAGCAGGAGCAGGGTGTTGAAAGCTCATCTTAACTGGAAAGATGAAACAAAGAAAGTGAGAGGGCAAGAAATGTGGTGAGGTGATAAGCCCTCAAAATTAGCTCCACAGGAGCACGCCTTTAATCCCAGCACTTTTGAGGCAGAGACAGGCAGATCTCTGAGTTCAAGATCAGCCTGGTCTACAGAGCCAGTTCCAGGATAGGCTCCAAAGCTACAGAAAAAAACCTTTCTAGAAAAACAAAAAACAAGCAAATAAATAACAACAACAACAACAAAAATAGTTCCATGACCAGTGACCTTT